ACTATCGAAGTAAAACGGTGTAAGGGGGGGGATGGTGGAAGGGAAACAATATTCCGTATCGGAATTATTGTTTGTAATATTGTATTTGATTTTTCCTCGTCACGTCAGACGCCGTTCGTTTTTTTACGACCCGATGCGGTTTGGGGAAAAAAAAATTAACAACCCTTTCCTACAATTGTATACGCGTGTAATTTAACGCCAGAGTATCTAATATTTGTATAGTTTCAACCGCTGCGACGTAGTTCGGGAAAAAAAGGAGAGGACGTAATCCTTACGTGTATAAAACCACTATATTAACACGTATTAACGGTATACACGGTAAACCGATTTTAATTACTTAATTTCATATCTGACAAGTAATAACAATAATGTGTACTCGTAAAACCCTTAAAAAATAGTTTTACGAGACATTTCGATTGGAGGGGGCGGGGGTTATCAACAGCTAACCGTCCTCTAGCTCGTGCGCTGCTCGTTTCAAACAATAAATACTACTTCACGGTTATTTTAGAGAGATTTAAAGACTGTAGAAACCTTTCGAGGGATACTATTTTATCGCCAAAAAATAATAATATTAATAACAGCGAATTTCGGGAACTGCAATACCCAACTAACTAATTGTTTATGTATCTCTTTCGACCCGTCCGCCGTATTCAATAATAGCCAAAATAAATGTAGATTTAATAGTGTTCAAATTTTTTCTCACGAAAAAAAGAAAAAATTCACACCGAAAATATTGTATTTTTCTTCGTTTGTTAAATCGATTAACATTAATTGGCCTTTAAATATTAAACCGAAAACAATAGTTTTTTCGAAAGCCTTCTCGGTACTTCGACATTTATTTTATTTTGTAGGTACTCCGTAGTAAAAAAAAAAATAAAAAAAAAAGGCAAATCGAAAATTTAGGTAACGTTGGAATTTGTGTACACATGGTTTTCACATCGTCCGTATACTCGCGATTTCCTTGAAAACCAACCACTGAGGGGTGGGTACAATGGAAACGTATTATGTGTCATTACTATTATCATCTCCGGTCTTTAGACCGAGTGTGTCTACAACAGACGCGTCGTCGACCGTCCGTGGTTTTGTGTTAAATGCCGTGCGGATTTTCATTTTTTGAAATTATTGACGCGGAAGGTAATTTTTCGAATTTTTCAAAAGCCATTGTTTGGAAGACATATTATTATATTATCTCGTTGTATACACGCATTATGTTCAGTGGTTAGTTTTCTGCACGTTAACCGCACATTTACTTGCTGGTAAATTCACCGAATCGCATAATTATTACATCGGCTTATCAACAATAGCGTGGATATTAAATTATTCGTACGGCCGGGTACCGAACTTTATTTAAATATGACTTTTCGTTTCCCTCTTTTTGTTTTGTTTTTATTTTTTTTTTTTTCAATTGTGTCTCATTTTAAACATTGTTAGGAACGATTACGGCGTGATGCGATCTAGTCGTCTCGAATGAACGGACGATACGACCACGACAAAAACAGAATCGCTACATTACCTATGCATAAAACGACTTTAGCGTTTTACGTTATTTGTAACGAAAAATTATCTACGTTAACGAGAATACGCGTACGTTTGTAAAACCGTGATATTTTATCAAGGAAAAAGCTCGGTACTGTAAACCGTGAAACGTTTTTGTTATGTCTGCTCGTTACTAGCAGATATAATGAATGCAATATTTTGTGTCTATTTTAACATAATATGTGAAGAATGGGCGAGAGCGGGATAAGGAATCTATAATCTTTCGCTGCATTGTCTGCATTCCTCTGAAAAATTATCACCCAGAAAACGATTTTCTCATTATCTCTTCTTTTGCGAAAATGTACAAACCATTTCAAAGGTTTATTCTAGAAAACAAAACAATATTATTTAGTAGAATCGTACAGGTGAAAAGGGCCTTCCAAGCTAAAATTGGTTTACCTAGTATACTAAATTACTAATAGTATCAGTTTGTCCGTAATGGAGATATTTTCAACGATCTGTGTATGGAATGTGTCCACTTTTTGCTCGCGTAACTAGTACGATTAGCTCGTTTGAAAAACGTAAATCGGAGACTTTCGAGGCGAAATGCTTTGAAAAAAAATCCTGTACATGTTTAAAATACCACGGATCAAAAGTGTTACAAACGAAAAGGTTTCGACCGGAATAAAGGAAAACCGACAACTATTAAACGGTAAGGTTTTCAATCTGTAAGTGATATTCCACTACAGGTTGTGCTAAGAACAATAATCATTGAGAGAGATGCGTGGAGATACGTGTATAGGAAGAGGAAGACGAATGGGAGAATAATATATTATGTGGGCCGAATCACTCGAATACAGTGCGAGGGTCTAAAGCAGAAGTTCCCCGAGTGATCTCTATAGACTCCAGGGTTCTATTCTGACCTGTAAGGAGTCCATATTATCGTAAACGAAATTGAGGGCGCATGAGATGTAAATAGAGATACCAAATGATATTAGAGGGAGGGGGAATATGAAAAACAGAAAAAACCAGGAAGTGGTCTACGGGGGAAGAAGTTTGGAAACTTCTGGTCTAAAGGAACCTGCACGAGCTGTTCGGCGAGGAGTTGTGGGGAAACGCAGCGTCCGAAGACTCGTGTTCGGAGTGTCAACAAGAATTGACGGTAACACTTGTCGAGTTCAATCGGAAGTAGGAAACGCACAATCCATTCACAACACGAGCAAACGCATTCGTTTCGTACGACTTCTCTGCGACCGCTGGACGGACGGGTTAAAGACCACCGAAGACACGCGCGCACTTATTATTATTATTATTATTATTATTTATTACTATAATCGTAGTAGCGACCGGCGGTGGGCTGCTTCTGCTGTCGGTCCCCGCCGCCGCGATTAATGAGTATATCGGATTTTAATTGAACCCTGGCCGCGGGTAACCGGCGACGACGACGACGACGACGGTTACCGCCGGGCGTACGCGCAAGCGACAACGGTATACCGCGGTAGCTCCGGTCCGGTTACCGGTCGTCGGTGTGACCGCCACCTAAATAATATATATTTTTACTATTTATATACCCGTAACATAAACGCCGTGTGTAGGACGCTGTTGTCGTCGTTGTAGCCGTTGTAGCGGTCAGCGGCTATGCAGTCGGCGACGACTCACGAACCGCGTGGGCGACTTTCTTGCGGACCGTTTCCCCCTCGGGTCGTGTTCGCGCCGAATACTCGGCCGCCGCCGTCTCATTAGACCCGCAACGCGATAATCCGGTATGGGTACACACACACACACACACACACACGAGAGAATGTTTGTAGTTTTAATTTTTTTTTCTCTCTCCCGTTTCCGAGGGGCACAACACGTCTCGTTAACGTCCGCGAAAACGTCTCGTTCCGTCAAATTCAAAAAAAATAATTATTATTTTAATCGAACCCGCCGCCGCCGCGCCGATGGGATTATATAGTCGATAAAAGTTCAACATTTTGAAAAAAAAAAAAAAAAAGTTTATAAACGATTTTTGACAAATCGAACAAGAATTACCATACTGTCACGGTGAAAATAAGATGTTTTTTTACCTCGAGCCGTTTCGAATTATTACAGTCCGCAAAGTCGGCACCGCACGCGTAAAACTTGGCCCGACCGACTTCAACGACTGTTTTATTCGAGATTTATTAGACGTTTTCGGAAAGTCGGTAGAGTTTGGTTGTCTTTACCTACCGAGATTTGATACGGTAGGTAAAGATTATTGTTACGACCATTATCCGGATTACGGGAAGTCAAGCTTTTGAATTATTCGTATTTGACAGAAATCTTTTTCTTTTTTGTAGACAATGTTTTCCGTAAGATCAATAATAGATAGCGGACGTTATCAACAATTTGCTTTCTTTTTATGTATGTACACATTAAAAAACAAATATATCTATTGACTTTTTTTATTTTTTTTGATTTCAGGTACGTTCAATATACGTTAAAACTTATTGTACTACACCGTTGCGTTTGAGTAAGTACTTTTGAAAAAAAACAGTACTACCTATAGTTTTAGTCGACGAATTTATGTGATTTGTGTTCGCGTGAAAACGGCAAACGACCGTAAAAACAATTACAATTTTAAGAAAATCAAAAACAGTAAACTTGTCGTTTTTGTTTTCTTTCGTATAATTTGTTCGATGACACCCGGATAATTTTTGGTAAACCGGTAATACTAAAATATTACGCATTGCCGACGAATTATACTGTAAGAATCCGGCTCCGATGATCGTAATATTTCTCGTGGAGGGATATTTCGCGAATATGTTTGCTATAAAATCTAAAAAAAAAAAAAAGAGTGGAGAGGTTCTGGTAGAATTTCTGATCTAGTCTGTGCGTTCGGTTTGAAATTATATAATCGACGCCTTTTTTTTTTCATGTATAATTTATAGGGAACAACCGAATGCGTAAATCGGCTTTGGTAAAAATCTGTACCGCTCGGAGATTTAAATTGTTTAATATCGATATACATTTGAAAGGTCCACGCTTGAATTTTGGACCGATTTTTTTTTGTATTATTATTTTATATCACGTTCCTCTTGGTTATGCGATGATAAAAATGTTTTGCAAGCGGTCCATCAACGATAAAACATAATTTGCGTTAAGCTCTTGAGTACGGGGTTTTTTTTTTTTTGTCCAAATATACGAAGGTAATAATATCGAGTGGACGTTCATTGGAGAATATTCGTTTTAAGCATCACATGCCCGTTTGGAAGTGTAGTTTGTGTTGCCGCAAAAATAAAAAAAAAAGTTCCGTTCCTATGTTTGATGTGTTTATATATATTTTTTTTTTATCGATTTATATGGGGATTATAATAACAATATAACATCGCAGTGTGCGCGTGCATCGGGATTAAAATTTAATAACGCAAAAAAATATACGGCCCGCAGTGCGATTTCAATAATAATAATTAAACTTTAAAACGAAAAAAAATACACGTCTATATTTTTTTAAATATCGCCCGTACACAACTCTCAAACGCACAAACATTACCGAATACTCGCGAACTTAATCCGCGTTAACCGTGCAATGACGTACACGTTGCACGTGCACTGAAAAAAAAATACAAATACAAATAATAATAATAATAATCTGTGATTTTATTTTGTGTATCATTATACTGCACGATTCTGCAGCGGTACGTTCCTGTGTAATTATATTAAATTAATTTAGGAAAGCCCGTTCTACAAACTGTAATTCCGTATACGATTTTCAACGAATTCAGCAATCCGGCATATTATGTACATCAAAAAACTATGTTAGTTTCTTTACTGCGTAAAAAATCTCAAAAAAAAAAAAAAAACTCCTGTTTGATTGTTTTCGAGTAACACATTAACGATTTCGCATAGCTGTTCCGTATAAATATTATCCTAATGCAATTCTATCGACTGGAAATACAGAGAACAATAGTTGGACAAGTTCTCGATGACGCACTAAATATAGCTGGAAGAAAAACGCGGAAATTAGGGTATTGAGCACTAAGTAGTATTTAACAAGCCGCGCGAAGGAACATAGCATTCAGTGGTTTGGACACATTATATAGAAAAAAAAAAAAGAAAGTAGACCAACAGGAAAGAGGCCCAACGTTAGACCTAAGAAGCGACGAATGGATTGATGGGAAACGACAAGGTCCGGAGGGACCGGACGTGTGTAGCTGTTTGAAAGAAAAGCGTATAGAATTATGATTGTTGGAGGTCGGTCAAAGTGGCGACCGAAACGACCATATACGGTGTTGTGAGGCGGTGATATGCACGACGATGGATGTTTTCGTCAGCATCAACGTTTGGCGTAAACAATGTTTTCGTTACGGCTTTTCCAGAGAGCAATACAATGTTCTCGCCCTGCGTTTTCGTCCGACGCGTTCGCCGACTACGTCGGGATTCAGTGCACCATTAGTATCCCGCCGTCCACGTCAAATACGTATTGTATCGCTCGCGGTGAACACGGTTTTGACGCCGACGTCGAATCACGTTCAATGTCTAAAAGCAACGTGCGTGTAGGCACAGGCGACACGGGGAAACGAAGACCGAGTACGTCGTTTCGCGGACGTATGCACCGTACGTTTTTAACGGGCGTCGCGTGGGAATGTAAAACGAGAATTGCCGGGAGTCGCGAGATTCGAGTTTCGCCGGAAAAGCGGCCGCGGCGAACCGTTCGAAAGACGGCACCCGCAGTGGAAAAACGCGGAAAACGTTCCGGACGTGTTGTTCAACACGGTCATGCACGCGAAACGCGTTGTTACGTTTCTCCGGGGAGAATCGCCGCGTGCATTTTGCAAACGAATCGCGTCGTGTCCATACGCATCGACGGGAAAATATTGAACTCCACAACTGTACGATATTACCGCGGTGTACTGCATCTCGATCGCGGTTTAGAAAATAAAGAACAATAAGCGGACAACTATATTATCGCGATGGAAACGAAACGGCCGGAGCGCGCATCGGCGGATCGTAGAAACCGCGGCGCGCGTGTACAGCAATAGAAGTAACGTTTACTGCGCGATTGTTGTTTCCGTACGGATTCTGAGCGGGTTTTATTTGTATTTTTTTTTTCTTCCCTCCCCCGTATAAAATATCGCTCCGGCGACGACGACGACCGCTACACGTTCGTTACTCGCGTTACGAACGGAACACGATTGTAGAAAAGTGTTTCGTATAAAATTTCGCACCCATAACGATCCGACGGTAAACCGCCCGCGTTCGGAATGATAACGCCGACCGATCTCGCGCGCAAACACGTCAATCTTGTGCATCGCGTACGCGTGTGATACACGGACGCGTTAGCTGTACGGTCGAAACGGTTTCTCCCCTTCTCCCCTCCCCTCCGCTCGGTTTATGCCGTACGCGCGCCGATACAAATTATTGCGCAAACAGCCGGCCGGGCACCGCGCCGGTAAACGTGCGCCGCCCGTAAACGGAGTGCATTCCGATCGGCCGCGGATACGGCGAATAATAAAATTTATTGTTATTATTATTATTATTTTTTTTTTTTCTTTTTCATATGCCTGCGGCCCGCGGGTAATCTTCGCTTATCGGTGCAATTGCAATACCACGGCGGCGGCGGCGTCCGATGCGTTTGTCACAATAATAATATGCAAAACGCACGGGGACGCGTTATAAAACCGGACCCGACAATGAGAGCGTATTTTCGCAGATTTCAACGACTCCGGGCACGACCGCCTGCCGCAGTCGTACTGTTGACGCCGTATAGTTTTATGCAGCGAGCATATAAATATAAATAAACAATACGGACGCGTTAAAATATGCGCTTAAAATTCTTAAAAAATAAAAACCATTTCAAACGTATAAAATGCGATATTTTTAAAATGAAATCGAAAACGGACATGTCTTGTATATTGAATGTGAATACGCATATCTTTAATGTTGTACGTATGTTGTCAGCCGGGAGAAAAAGGAAGACCGAAAAAATAATATCTCCTCAGCGCTCAAACAATACGAAATTTTCTTTCGGAATAAAAACAGGAAAGCGAAAAAACGGCGCAATTTTTTGAATTTCTCAAGAAAAACGAAAAACGTTTAGAGTTTTATTATTTTTCGTAAAGAATTACTGTAGACATTTGTAAATTATATTTAACATGGCATTTTACAATCATAACAATAATAATATTACGTCGCAAAAACAAGTTTCAAAGTTTAGATTAAATAACGAAAATATAAAGTTAAACTAAATTGTTTTAAACATCGTATTATAAAATGACATTCCCCCACCCCTGTCACAAAAAGCGAGGCTTTGCAACTTATAAGATATAATTTGTTTAATATTTTTTTTTGAAATACGTTAATAGTATTCTTGTCATTTAAACGTATGCCCTTTCTGCATTCGGCGATTCACATATATAGTTATCATACTCGTATAGACTCGTAAATTAAATTTTCCGTATTGTAAGAAGGGTTAAAAAGTTATTCGGACAATTTCGTATGTATATATTTTTATAAATCTGCATTCTGCGCTCTACAGTTCTGGAGAAATTCGAACAAAAATCACAATAATTACGTTTAAAACATATGTTATTATTGTGCGTATTTGTGTATATTATCTAAAATTATGAAAAATTAAACGCTTACTAACCTGGGCTCGAGACTTTAAAGGTTTAAAATCCAAAAAAAAAAAAAAAAAAAAGCGATCGAAAACGTCAAAAAAGTCTTGAAAACGTACTCAAAGGAACAAAAAAAATGAAAAAAATGGTAGACTGTTTTTAAAAATATATTTTACGTTAATCGTCTTTGTAGTGTTAGAAAATCGTATTCAACGTTAGCGAGCCGTTATGAGAGGTGGGAAGTGGTGGGGGGGGGTTAAACCACAATGAGCGCTCTGTCGTTTTCGCTTTTTAGAAATTTGTTCTCTGGGCTTTTCTGACGTTTCCTAACGCTTTCCCGTGGATTTCGCACGCACGACGTCCCGAACACCGGATTAACAATCGACGCACTATAATCGCGAACTATAACGGCGAGTCATAAAGTCACACCGCATACGTGTTAATTTTAACGCGACGACGTTCGTGCGCGCGCACAGCGCGTTCAGATAATAATTCCATTGTACGCACCCGAGTGGTGCAGACGAGTACGTGATTGAATATTATTTATTAATCGAGATAACACACACTCACACACACACCCACAATACAACCGTTCGTACACGGTGAAATTGTCGGCAGGTATATTTTGTTTTCCGAGAGTAATAATTATGCAAATCGTCCGTGTAATAAAATTACAATAATAACAATGATCGTGCGCGCCGAGCGTTTTCGCCACCGGAACAGTTTCTTCACACACACACACACACACACACGCCAAATTTGCATATAATAAAACAAAGTCCGCACTGTTATTACGGTATTATATATTATTATGTCTCTGGAAAGATCAATCTCGCCAAGGAAGTACGAGTGTATGCGTATATACTACACGCGCATAATATGAAATTGAAATATTATCGTTTTTTTTTTTCGTATTTTACTGTTTCACGTCCAGCGTCCGTTACACATCCATTGTAAGTATGTTAATTTTTCCCGAAACGATTTAACGTCTCGCGAGGAAAAAGGAAAAGACCCGGCGGTATAGCTGCGGGCGTCTACTTGTCGTCGTCCCTTCGGTTCTTTCCGTACGCCATATATATACGATGATAGAAATCTACGGTTGTACAAACCAATTGCTAACAAATTCTACCGTGTTATCAAAAAAAGCATCTTAATGTAAACCTACTGACGATGTATTGCTATTTTCAGTATCCGAATTACAGCGTGCGGAAATTATCGGCTTTTTGATTTTTTTCTACTCCGCGCAAAACTTCTTCGTTCTTTGAAGCGTGTGCGTTGTATACTATAAAACATTAGTTTTCGGGTACCTATTACTACGCCTAAATATTTTACGTTTGAATGTTTTTATTTTTTTTAAACGAACAATCGTAATAATACCAAAAGTTTGGATTTGAAATCTTCGTTGACGACGCGAACCGAGTCGGAAAGATCCCACGTGTTATATAACCGGCATCTCAAAATAAATAATACACGAGTGCCTTTTAACGGGAACCGGATCCGGGGAAAGACCATTGGGAAGGTCGGCGACAATGGGACGAAAAGACGTCTAGCGAAAAACGTCGAACGAAAACTTGTCGTAAGAAACTGTAAGCAACGATAAACGATTCTGAGCCGAGTATTTTATTAGTGGCGTTTTTCCTCTTGTTGCCAAGATAACCCGAAAATAAAAATTATAAAAAAAAAAAAAAACTTTCAGCGAAAATTCTATAGGAAAGTTCTTATATAGTTTTTGATCGGTAAAATATTTTCGGTAGAAAAGATGTTTACAGATACGTATAAAAAACACACCACTACGTTTATTCGCTTCGATCAGAATCTAAAAATGCCCGGACGCTTTACATAGTAGGTGGATCAAGCAGTCGGAAAGTTACTGCGACGGACGTAGAGTAGGGCGATTTTATCGGTTGTGAATCCGTCCAAGGTATTCAGGACGGCACTATAGATAATTATATTAAAATATTATTATTATCATTGTCGATGAGTCTGTGAAGGATGGCGATGAGGATACGTACCTATCGTTTCGGCGCCTATCTCGGATACGCGGGCGATGACTAATTAAAAACAAAAATATCCTCGTAATTTACTATATACACTCGGCCACACGTTTATAATTTTCCGGCGCGTGTATAATAATATTACACACTTAATACTTTTCGGTCGGTTTTTGATTGACACCTGTGTGATCGCGGTGAAATTATTATAAATATTCAATACTTTTAACCTTGACCATCTGCTGCAGCAGGTCGTTTACATCGGATCGACGAATCTAATGTTCTCTGCGCAGTCGAACTTGTAGTATTATTATATTATCATTTTTTTCCCCCCAAAAATAAACTTTTTATTAAATCTCTTTATTTTCATAATGATTATCGTCTTGTATACGGTTTTTTTTTTTTTTTAAATTCAACGTTTAGGTACAATATTATTGATTACAATCGTGTTTTCTTAATTTTTTTACGAATCGGACTAATATAGAATTAATTATCGGATATTTACTTCTGATAAAAATCGCGCAACCTGTTGCAGAACGCAATGGTTTTTCATTTGAATATATTATAAATTATATAGAAACTTACGTCGTCGTCGCGGTCGTTTTTTTTCACTAATATATAGGCGTTTAGAATTTATTTACTTGTACGAGTTGATTAGTCCCGATTCAACGTACGTTTTTCAAATGAATATATAATATATATTTTTTAATAATAATAATATTGTAAAACGTTATTGCCACCATTGGCAATCGTGTATTAAAACTGTTCTCTAAACTGACTAATATCCTGAAATATGTTATTTAAAAAAAAAAAAAAAAAAAAAAAAAAAAAAACGACTCAATATCGTACGGCGTCGAGTCAGTGAGTCACTCGTTATATTTTTTTTTTTTTTTTTTTACATATTTTCTAAATTGCCTTCGTAATATTTGTCGCCGTAATTTAGAATTTGTATTGTGACGGTGACGGCAGCGGGTAGACTCGAATGTTACGCGCGTGGTTCTCCGTCGACCGAATAACACTCGCAGAAACACAATCGTACCGTAGGTAACAATAATAATTATTATTATTATAACCGACTCTGACAAGTAACGAGACGAAAAGCTTATTATACGCATCGCCTGTAGTGGGTTTTTTTTTTTTTAGTAAAGAACCACTTCGCACCGCGTATTTCCATAAAATCGTCGTCAAAATTAATGTTTATTGTGACGCGTTTTCTTACGCAATAATATGCAGAGCCAACAATATTTCTGCGTACGTGTTTCTTCCTGTATTATACGATAACATTCGTATAGTTTTACAGAAGAAAAAAAAAAAACCCGAATACGAATTCCGGGATCCCACACGCCCGGTCCTGCGTTTTTTTTTTTGTTTCGTTTCTGAAAAAAACATGAAGTAAACAATAAGCAAATTCAAAATTTCATTCGTACGGCGGTGACGGATTTTGATAAAACACGCGTTTGAGAAGTACACGATAATAATACATTGACGGACGGATATAGGTAGGCGCACGGCGATTCGCGCGTTTGTGCGGACCGATGCGGACGAGCAAATTACAGGCTGTCAAACGCTGCAATGGCGCGCGCGTACACGACGCACGGCGTCAAAAACCGCAACCGAAGACACGCAGAGATAATTATATTATTATATACGCTCAGAATGCGTGTGCGTATGCGTGTGTGCGTGTGTGTGTGCGAACGCGTGTGTACGCGTCCAAAGTTCAAACGTTCGAACCGCATTGTTAAAGAAAAGTAAAAAAAAATTTAAAAAAAAAAAAGTTGGGCAACAAACGACGGAAATCAATAGCTACAATGTATCGACGTCATCACGGTCGAAATCGAGATTTTTTTTTTTTTTCGTTTTTCTACCGCGATGACTCCGTCGCGTAATCGCTGAACACGACTCCGCGGTCCGGGTTAACCCTCGCGGTGACTCGCGCAGCGATTTTCGACGATCACGGGTTCCCGCATATTATTGTAACGCGTTGCTGACCGAAATCGAAACTCACGCGCGTTCCGCGAGAGCCGCCCGGTCGGTAAGCGTGTACACTGTAAATGTCCGATATTTCGTTTTGGAGGTTTACGTTTGGAACGTGCGAGTTTCGCCTCTAAGGCGTACTGAACATCTGCACGGTTTTGACAATAACGCACTCGAAACGGAATACGCGATTTTTATCGTATTCGTCGGTCATTCGATTTTCGGCTTGAACAGTTTTCAGGGCCGAAACTCTAATGGAATCTAACGGAGCCACCGGTGACACAGTAATTAGTTACTTTCAGTTGTTCGAATTTAGACCCGTTCTCGCGCGTTATTTAGACGTACTGCTGTCTACATACGGAATCGGATTCGCCTTTAAAAACCCTACGGAACTATGTCGCCGGAGCACATTTGCACGTTTTACGGCACACGCGAGAGTTTTAATTCTAACTAGCCGTACAGCCGAGACTGCGGGAAATTCGTTTTATTTTACCTCTCGCTCACCGCAGTGGGAGTAAGTAGGTTCCTACGCGCTGCACCGATTATTACTGTTATTACGTTTTCTGTCTATACTCTTTGGTAGGTACCTAGCCATCAAATATTTTTTTATTTTTTTTTTTTTTATAACACAGGACATAAGTATATACGTACTCGCACGATAGAGTCACTGCCGCGACCGTATGTACACGTAGTATTATATACGCTCATTAAAATCACTTTTTTTTTTTTTAAATCTTTTTTTTTTTTCTGTATACACCCGAATATACGTATTTGTGCGTACCGGTGTATAATAATACCTAAATAACCGGGTCACGAGAAGTATAAAAATACAAATTCGATTCCGACAAAAATACAAAATATCACCGCACCGACGCGGTCCCGCCCCGGACGAGGGGTTGGTATACCTACGCACGCAATATTGTTACACCTCATTAGGCGCATATTTTTCTGTGTACAACGTAAACGTGCCCCCGAAAACGCGGTTTCCCACAAATTACCCAACGACAGTGCGTATTGTGCGCAACAAATATATTATAATAACGGATACCGATTTCCGGAAATCCATTGCGGCGATCCATTTAACACACCGAAACACAAAACAGTTGTATTATAATATACAATATCGTTTCCGATTGATATGGAAATCGAAGAGAAGAAAAACCGCATTTGCCCGCGTCGCATTATCATACCGTAATAATAAAAACTGTCCGGACCGGGCTTTGTCCACAATTCCCGACGTATATACACAATAATAACAATAATAATATACAGAGCGATTATTTTATCACGTTTTAACAATGATTATACAGATAGATATTCAATTTTCGTCTCCAGGCATATTGTATGGTAAATGTGAATGATCGTTTTTGTAGATTAAACGATATTCTATGTATAACGGTTGGAAATAAAACCACAATCGAATCAAATCTCCGTCAAATGATTCGCTACATAAAATCTAATCACCCTGTATGCGTTACGGTTAATGACGATTATATTTATGTTATTAACGCCGGATCGTTTCTTCGCGAACCCTCCCGGCAATAATATTAATATGTATGCGGAACCGTGTTAAACCGCTTCCGCCGCCGTCAAGTACTGTCGGAGTAGACTTTGGTCCTCCTATTTTGATGATTTATTATGAATGTATGACTCAATATGCTCTTGGTTGTTCGTGTACGCGGATGTTGTTACTATTGTAACCGCGCGTAAGAAAATACGAGGCTGAGCATAAGATTCGGAGGGAAGAACTTCGGAAATAAATTAACGAGTTAACACGTTAATATAGTTAATTGTTTCATTCGTAATCTATGTTTCTGACCCAACTGAATCAACTAATAAACTTAGTGTTAAGTTAATTTTGGTTTCTTTCTTTTTTTAAAAATTGTGTCTGTCTTATAGGTAGCCAAAAAAATTAAACGATAATATTGCCAAAATCTGTATAGATTGTAAATTTAATAATCCGTTAAAATTTAAAGTTGATTGAAATCGAAATTAACACTTAACGCGATGCAATTCTAGATTAACTCCTTTATCGTAAAATTGATCTCACGAGGAACTGATATAACGGCCCATAAAAATAAACTGAACGAGTTTAACGTTGAAACTAATTCAACGTTTAACTTTTTGAATCGTTAATGTCCAGTCTCGAGAAAGCCGTCAAGTAGGGAATTCTTCGTTTTTTCTTTTACTGGATGCCCCCGTCATCGCCAAGATCTATACGGTCGATCGGCACGCGCATCGGTCTCTGCAGTCCGATCCGCATTAAATGTGGATCCTACACGGACCTACGACCACCTCGTTTATCCGGTCATCCGGTCTTGATGCCATAAAATATTATGGTTTACGATTATTTTCGACAACACTGTAA